TATATATATATATATATATATAACGATTGATATTTTTTCACCGCTAAAATGTATAAATGCCCCAGGTGACACTTCTGGGTTAAGCTGTTCAATACATTTTTTTTTAAATTAAACTTTCTGTCATTTTCAGATCTTATTGCAATTCCTAATGCAATTCCGCCATTGCGATATGAACGCATTATTTCGAGAATGCTATTACAGCAAACTAAAACGTAATACACAGCGCGAGAGTTCCAAATTTGTTCATGATTATATCAAGAACTTTATTTCGCGATTTTCGCGACGACGTGATTTCCCCCGCGATATAGTCGCGTTCGACTTGTAAGCGCGCAAGGCGCTCGGAGGGACTTGATGCGGTACTTTAAAAGTACGTGGCACTATACCGACTGAATACATGGTACGCTACAATTCGCTATCGTTTCGTCTAAAGTGTCTCGCGATATCGATGAGAAAACGTGGCGCGCGCCGCGCGGAACATTGCATTGCGGTCTCGAGAAAGAAATTGAACTCCGCGAAATCCAATAGGTTTCGGATCGAATCGGTACTCGCGACCATTCCGAAGAGCTTTATCTTCTCGACCTGGCCGCGCAGCTAAACGAGGCTAAACATAATCCGCAACGGGACGTGTTCGGAGGTGGCTGACGAGAAACGCGTGCGCTTCTACTATCCGGATTCTACCGCCGCCATCCGTTCCTACATGGCGCGATTTTTTGTCCAAAGACTCAAAGGCAAAAGCTATTAACATCGTGACTTTTCTTTCGTTCAACGGCTAGAACTCATTACCACGTCGTATAAGAGTTCCGACAGTTTTCGAGGTAAAGTTGGATTAGAGGTTGGCAGCTCGTTAGCCGACCTTATCGATCGTTTCTCCTGGATACCATTGTGCACGGCGTATTAATTAAAAAATGAAAATCCGGTGCCCGTCCAACACACGAGGAGTTCTGTAATCCCAAGTTCCATATCCTCTCTCGTACTCCTCCTCCTTCTTCTCCTCCCCCTCCCCCTCCCCTCTTCTCTCTCCTTCGTCCAGAAACGGCCTCGAAGTTAAATTACACTGGATCGCTTATCGATTTTCAATTTACTCTCGGGTATCAATAATTCAATGAACTTTGGAATACTACTTAAACGAAGCTAGCAAAGTCTCAATGGGCTAGCTATAGTTTATCTTTTCATACCTCTTTCATAGTCGAGAGCATATAAATTATGATTTGCTGGGAAAAATATGGCAGACATTTCGAATCCGATAGATAGAATATTCTGAATATAATTGTCTAGAGTCTGTACGTAAACGTGCTAGAAATAATTGAGAGTGCATGGCTGCATTCAACATAACAGTCGACAATTGTGAGAAACAACATATGTGATCTTACCAAATCATTATCGATATGGTTCTAATTAAACGCGAACAAGAGAGACTATACCGTGCTCAGATTACTAGCAAATGTGTGTTACAGACAGGTGAGGGTGTCGAGGTGACATCTCGCAATCACTCTAGTCTGCCAATTTATCGAAAGAAAGACTAATGGTTGCCGGAGGGTGATGCTTGGTGAAATCTGCGGCAGGATGAAGAGAAAAGGGGAAAGAGGGAGAAAAAGATAGAAAGACAGTACGAGGAGACGGGGCGAGGAAGGGCAATGACAGATACCAGTGTTGGAACCGATCGATCTGGAACGAAATAAAATATGCTCGCGAGAGCACGGGCGTAATTACGAGCACCGAAGAAAAATACAGCGCGCCATTACCGGAGGGTTAAGTGAACCTGCTCTGATCAGCTTGTACGGAAAGGAGAAAAAGAGAAGGACGATAGGGAAGAGGGTCAGCAGTGGGATACGAGGGAGAAACGAGATAGGGGAGAGAACAAGACCGAGATAGACGAAGTAAAGGGGGCAGGGCAACGAGAGGCAGAGAAAGGTGAAGCCAGAGGAGAAGTATTACTCAGATAACTGAGACGTGGAACGAATGAACGAAGGGAACTTTGGAACGGGTAGGAACGAGTCGTAGGAGGTCAGACGAAGCGACGGGGAGTGCTCGCTCTCGCGGGGTGGAAAGTACGGTTTGCGTGTTCGGACGCAAGTTCGCCTTGGCTTCCGGTTGTTCGCATGCTACAAGTCCACTTGTATTAGGCCCGCCATACGAATACGCCGCACGCCCGCCCGCGGTTCAGACGTAGTCAGTCAAGGTACACGGACGAACATGAAATACACATACACACTCTCTCTTTCTCAGGCATTTACGATCGAACGCACGAAAGCCGTTTTGGCTAGAACTCACCCTCAACGCGGAAGCTAATCGCCGGTTGAATTAATTCCAGAACTGAGAATGGCTTCTACCGACATGCCGGCGCTTTCCTATCTGGAAATGGAAAGATATCGGACTATCGAGTGCGACTAATGGCTACCGGAAATGCTAGACAGAGCGCGTGCATGCAAACGCGATTTCGATTGCGGTTTAGCGCGACTACGTGGATAAAAGGTTCGAGGTCATGCGTTTTGCTAAATTCATGTGACCTGGCCGACCCTGGGGCTCGGAGGTGAACTCTGATGTGGTTAGGGAAACTACTGTAGAGACTAGATACAATCGGTCGTTACAACTTTCACGGGAAGGTATATAAAAGCCATTACAGGCTAGATAATTTCTATTATTACGAGAGTCATACTAAAGATAATAGAAAATTGCTTGGAGATATTATCGAATAATAACTTTATCTTAAACCCACTTTTGATCTATAATTAGATTTATAGAATTTACAGATTCTGTTTATAATTTTATATATACTGCATTTTAATATATTTGTATTTTAATCTATGTGTATTCTGAGATTCTTTAAAAATTTTGTCGTTTATATATTTTAGCACATTAAATTAATTAGAAACATAATTCTATTTTACAGTCTGACAGAATTATATGTAATTTAAAACATATTTTATGTCATTTGGAATTAGACGAGAAAATGTACGTATTTTAATTTGTTACATAAAAGAATATGTTCCTCAACCTTTCTTTCAAATGAACGTGCTTCAAAAAGCTATTCAAAAACACGCGTGTTTTTCTCTATTCCTTAATTATCACGCACGATATTTCATTCACGCGACAGATCCAGCCTTGCATTTCAATTAAAAACGCCTCCTGATACCAGTAAGCTTTACCCGAATAGCAGTCAGAAATCAATGAAAAATTTTCAGGATTAATTTCGAGGAAAATGGTGAAAACACCATGTCCGCAACGCGCACCGAATCAAAGTACTTTTTTGTGATTCCATATAGGGGTAGTTAAGTTAAATAATGAATGAGGATTGGCTAGCTGAGCCGGTCTGCTGGGGGTTCGGTTCGGTATACCGAGTTGCTTTGATGTCTGGCGGCAGCCGCCGATTATGGAATCAATTATTGCGCAGTGCTCCCTCTTTCGTCCTCTCTAGCCTTTTCAATTCACTTGCGCACTCGCGGCTTCGGGCTTTCGCCCGCTTTCTGCTCTCTTTATCTTCCCTCCATATTCCATTTCCTCTCTCTTGCTCTTTCTACCTCTATCTCGCTTCGTGAAGAATATGAAGGGAAAGATTTATTCCGTTAGCCAGAGTTCGGGCTCGGGTCCACCCGGGTATATAAGAGTATCGCTATTACCGTTCCATAATCTACGTCAATTACCCTCGATGACGGTATCGCGGAAATAGAACCTTAGTTGTCAGTATGTGCTTATTTCTCGTTATAACATTCGGAATTAATTTTAATAAGATAAACACGCGATTTTGATAAACACTTTGCAAATATAATATAATTACTTTATTATCATTGATCGTACAAAATGTCATTCCGCTATTTGCAAAATCAAAATGATTATCTTTTTTCAATATCTTTATTTATACAATTATTGCATTTAAATTATCGTGATTAATATAGAATATATTTCATGCAATTTATAAATCTAATTTATAAAACGGATTGGAACAGGGAAAAGCACCGAAAAGTAATGAATTATATAAAAATTTGCTATTTATTGAACCTTATGACAATATAACAAGAAAAATATAAAAAATAACAGAAAACATAGATGAACCAAGCGCACCTTTTCTAGAAATATTTCTTTCATATATATTGTTTCTTCTTGGAGGCTGTAATGGAATTTATGGGATTAGTCGATGGGATTAGAGTCGATGTCTCCCAGATATGTATAATATATTATTATATATAATATATTATCATATGTAATATATTATTAGAGGTGTGCGAAATCTCGAAATTTCCCAGTGCTTGGAACGGGACGGATACCGAAAATTTCAGGATCCTGTTCCGATCTCGAAAAGCATTCGCATTCCCATTCCAACCCGATTTTGCACACTTCTAATTATTATGTATAATATATTATTATTAATATATGTATAATATAAAGAGGCTTAGTCATCGCAGTTGCGCGTTGTCTGTTGGCTGCGTGCGCTTTTTTCTATGATTATAAAAAATAGATGATTACCTTAAAATTTTCTATCCATCATAAGGCTTAACAAATTGATCAGAAAATTTAATAAAATTTATTTAATGAATAATTTTTAAAAATTTGGAAAAATGATATTGCTTACTAACATTGACTCTTATTTTTTTTGCTCTCTTTGATGGAAATCACATAACGCTGTGCTATACTCAGTGGGGGTGAATAGCCGGTCTCGTACGCAGCATCCTCGAACAGGATTAAGTACTCTTCCGTGGCGGTACTTGGTTGACGTTGCACGACTGCCTTGTAAAAGCAAGTAGTTTGCGGGTAGAGCGCCATTACTGTAGATCCTTTCGGGAACAAGGCGTGCGGATCCGTCTCAGGATTGGCCCTCATCAGTGGCAATGGTACCACTCGTCTCCGTGACAACGTATGGCGGTCCTTTTGCTCCTCGTCAATATCGTCCACTTCGTATTTATTTGTCGTGGCATTAAATTGCACGACCTCTGCGAGTATCCAATTCTCTCCTTCCTCATTGCCTTTCACTAATGCGGCTACCATGTCGCCCATCTTCGCAATGTAAGTAGGCTCGGCGGGTATCGCGCCGCACAATGGCGGTGGTTTGGCGCCCGGTGTCTTTCCTACGTAGAGGGGTAGGGTCTGTGCGGTGCTCAGCAGCATCTTCATCAGTGCCCCACGTCTAATAGTCTCCTTGTTGCCTGCTTGACGTGCTTGTATGCGTCGTTCATTTCGTATCGTGCGTATCTCGTTAATCTTATTAAGAGCCTTGCGCAGGATTTCTTCTTCCTGCTGGGTATCAGTCACCGCGGCATTGTATAGATTCTTTAACTTTTGTTGATAGTAAGGAGAAACTTTGTCGTCCGGTGTAACTTTCTCATGAGTCTTCATAATATTATTTAGGTTGTGCTCGGATCGAACTCGTTGACTCTCAACATCGTGCACGAGATTGTAAATATTCTTTAGACGCTCCTGTATCTGAATCGCTGCTGCGTCCGCCGTGAATGGCATTATGAAGAAGGATATGATAATTTCGGAAGATCGTGTGTTAAGTAAATAATAACTTAACTGAATATGCTATTAATCGTTTCCCTGTAATGAAAAAATATAAAACGCACATTTTAGGAATATTTCATCAACACATTTTTCTATTAAGCGTCAATTAAATATTGAAAGTATGAATTTGGAAAATATTATTTAAAATTCTGTACTATATTACTCGCATGGTTTTTATCGACATAATTACTCGTGTGAGGTATTTTAATAAAATTATATTTTCATTTTCACTAATCTCTCTCTCTCTCTCTTATAATTTACAATTAAACAAAATTAATAATATTCTTTAGATAATAGATACATCTTTAGATAATGATAAAAAAAATGTTTAATTGTGAAGAAGCATACAGCCACTAATGCTAGATGTCTTTTGTGTGTTATATATTTAAAATTCAGATAACAATAAGTAAACGTTTTGGTCACTATCTGACCATCCTCAGTTACTAACGTTTACTTATTGTTATCTGAATTTTAAATATATAACTCACACAAAAGACATCTAGCATTAGTGGCTGTATGCTCCTTTATATATTTTTGTTCATGCATTGAGCCACGTAGGTTCTATATTTATTTTGTTTAATTGTGAATATTTACACTGAATATAACAATGTGTATAAATAACATTTATATTGTGCTTTAAAGAATGTGCTGGAATGTTCTGAACACTACGTAAGTAAAGGATTAACATGTTAGTAATATATTTACAAAATTTTCACAAAAAATGAACGATATAATATTTTTAAAGTCTTAGATTAAAAGTTATCACTCTCAAATTCCTCACAGATCATATGCTTTATTCTAAAAGTGCATTCCACTTCATACATGATGCACATGATTGTATCCTTCTTTAATATTCATTGAATAAAACAAAATTCCTCTACTCTATGGCCCGATTGCATCAACGTTACTTTGATTTTAAGCGAGACTTAAAACTCTATTTGTTTCGTTTTAAAGTCGAAAGAGAGACAGAGATAGAGACAGTTTTAAGTCTTACTTAAAATCAAAATCACTTTGATGCAATCGGGCCTAAAACTTTTAGAGTGAATCTCGCTCTAAAAAATGAAATTTCACTCATAAAGATTGAAAATTGAACCTTGTTTTCAAAATTGGCTCAATTATCACTCTTTAGAGAGAGATTCCAATCCAAAGAATTTAAAGAGTAATATTCTGTATTATACATCTAGAAAAAAGGTCACTGTGAATATAATTAACAATTCACAATATTTCTCCAAAACTTACTTTCTGTCGATTAAATATTAATATCGGACATGCAATTGCGCACGTTATTCATTTCCAAATTCGTTTAGTGAATAACACCGGTTACGCGTACTACATCCGCCAACAGCGCTCGTGCTAACATGGCCGGCGCAATATGACTAGATCAATAACTTACCTGGTCGAGAATTGTCTCGTAACAGGCTGAATGAATGCTCGACGAATCTCCGGAGAATGACGTTCCGATCAAATGTTTCAAGACACCAATAGTTTCTACGCAGGGCTTTCTGTTACTAAACTATGAGAGGCTTGCTGTTGCCCAACTGTCAGAGCAAGCGTCTCTAGATGCTACGCGTCCAATCGTTCACGCGCATCTGCGCCACACTGCGTCTCCCACTACCTTCCGGCAGCAGCTGGTCGGCAGAGTTCTATCAAGGCGGTGCTGCCACCTCGTAGTGAGCTCTGAAAACAAAGTACCAGTGATAGTTCTGATCGTCGTAGAGTTGGAGTCACTAGTATCCATTGCGTATCTCAGATTTACTATGTATTGTTATATACTGGCCAATAAACTGAATTATCTATCTATCTCAGATTTGCTTAATTAACAGAGAGAGAATAGGAGATTGATTAAAAAAAAATCACTTTTTATTTTTTTAATAAAAACATCTCAAGGTTACTCGACAAATTTATGAATCGTCAAAGTATAAAATATTTAAACAATATTAATATTAAGTTAATTATATTATTCGATGCAGAAAGTGTATCATTTTTTTCATCAAGTTAAGAGATTGATATTTATTTGAAAAGAAAATTAAAAAATTTTAGATTAAAAAAAGCATATTAAAAATCCTTGGTAAAGACTTTTAATTTGCTGAAATTTTGTTTTATCAAACATGTATGGTATATATATATATACCTATCTATAATGCTTTCATATCAACTGTCTAATCGAATGTCTAATATAATAAATACAAAACACGCGAATCATCTAATACTTATTAGAATTTAATTGGAAAGAATAATCTATAATAAAGTGCGGATAAATATTTAAATATCTGTTCTTAAGGATACAATATTAACGTGTTACAAAATTATCGAATTATCAAGCTTTCTCATTATAATACGATCGCAACTTTTGTCTGCCTTGCTTCCTATTTGTTGGAAAAATATTAGTCTGAAAATAAATTATTTTCAAGTATCACATACTTATATTGAATATGTCGTAAATTATCGTTGGTTTAAATATTCGAGATAACCTAAATATTTTTTTGTCTTAAGATATAAAAAATTTTCACATAGCAAGAAATCTAATTAATGACTTAATCTCGAATATTTAATGTTATAAATTATATAGTGAATGGATTATCTTTTTTTATATCTTTCTCAAGAACGTCTTTTACAGCGATTTATACAGCTCACTGCTATTACTGTACTTGAATCGTATTCGAGATATTTCATTAAACGTTCAATCGGACATTCCATTACTTGTGAGATATGTGTGCGCGCCAATGATAAAGTCGTTTCGATATGCGAAAAATCGCCGTACGCTGATAATTTTTCTTAAGACGAACTCGTTCCTCGTAGATCCAATCGTATATCGTATCGCACAGACAGGCTGGCTGCGGCACCAAGCGGAGGCATACATTGAATGTGGCGTGTATCATCGCTAACAACCAACAGGTTAACCGCGCTAACAGCATCGATAGCACCACAGAATGCCATAACTCATTCACGCCGAGGCATGCCAAGGCTTGGGAAAACTGAATCTAATCTCTTGATTAAATTCATACTTCCGCGGCGAGATTTCGCATTATCGTACTTTGATAAACGTACCCATCCATTTATGCGAAATTCCCCACAATAAATGATAATCCGGTATGTTTTAAAAAGTGAGTTGTGAAACTGGCATAATTATGAAAGGAAAAATATATAACATATTATATAAAAACATCGTATCGCAGAAAAAATAACGCAAAACTTGATATTTAATTGTTTGTAATTTTTTAAATTTGACATTTGTTATTAAAATGATAATATAATGTATTTTAGCGTTTTTACGCGGAAAGAACGATTTTACTGAAATATTTAAAAATTCAGCTAGATATATACTGATCGGAAAATACTTTTATTGAATTATCACAATAATTTGGAAACTCAAGTATGATGAGCGATGTTGCAAAAATTTTGATATTCTAGTTATCAGCTTCAGCGTCCTGCATAATTCTGTTAATAGTGTTCAATAAAATTATATTTTTAAATCTGGATCTATAGTTGAATTTTATATATTTCTCTCTCTCTCTCAGCAAAATCATTTTTTCTCCGTGTATAGAGCAAACGTTATAATTGCGTGTCATAAAATTACTCGCCACTGTCGATCGAACCTATAATGTATTTCAGTGAGCGTCGATCGAAGCGTATCGTTTCGATAAATCGTAACCGCGATTTCGCCGTGAAAACGTGTCGTCGTATCGTTCCCAGATATGCGATCTCTTGGCATATCGCGGCGTGTTGCGCGAGGTGCATCGTGCGCACGTGCATCATCGTTAACAACCGACTATTCTAACCGCGCTCTAACAGTGCACGGGACTATGCCATAACGCATCGCATGTAGAACTTGAGAGAATTCTGAGCCGCGTGGACCATTACCGCGTCTGCCTTCGTCTCTCGAGTATGTCTACATGTTCGCTTTATCGTATACGTGCACGTGTACACCTGCCGATATGCGGCCTCGCTGCAAACGTTATCCCAACCACGCGCGTTTAAGCTCTTACGAACTCCATGACCTATCCGCAATGAGATGCGTGTCACGCGTGCCACCGGCGCGCACGTGTACTGCCGTATACCGCATCGTCGAGAAATCGTAAACGATTTGGCGGTCTAGTACATCCCGAGAGTTTCACGCATATATATGTATACAATGTATATATTATATATATAGATGTATGTGCATTATCGATTGGAATCCCGCTAAAATTCTTTAAATTCGATTTCTCCATTTTAAGCAATTTATGTGAAATGCAAAATATAATTTCAATTATTACTGCTCTAAACTTCGAGTCCCAGTTATTCATGTTAAGTAATTGCAATTGGAATTTTTTGAGCCACATAATACAGAACTTTTAGAGAGTGTAATCTCTCTCTCTTAAAGATTGAAAATTGAGCTGCTCTTTTCCAGGACTGCTGGTTCAATTTGTAACCTTTAGAACGAAATTCAACTTCGAAGAATTTAGAGAGTATACAATTGTAGAAACACACACATGACTGTTGTAGCATTGATATAATGTCTATTTAAGGAAAGCTTATTTGAAAATTTAGAGCATATAAATCTTATTTAAAGAAATACATATGTATCATACTCTAAAATTGCATTAATGCTATTAAACGTGTCGCCTCTCGCTGTAATTACTCTGACGAAGCTCAATTCCGAGTACTCGTGTGCTTTCTCGTCGGGTGGAAATTAAATTCTTTTTACATGTCTGACGGGTGCAACCGCGAATGCGCTATTAAAATGTATTACAGTGACGATGAACTCAGCTCACGTCACTTTAGAATATTACGTACGTACACACGTATATATATGTATGTACATATATACATATACATATTTCGAAATATAGAATAAGGTGTCTAACGAGAGAGACGACAGGAGAGATCCTGAGCCTCGAGTAGTCCTCACGTTATTTCGTGCTCTTCCTGTAGACTAAGAGTCTAGACACCTGTACTTTCACTGTTGTATATTTCGACTCTTATCACTGAATTCGTACGTCTAACCCTGCGGCGAATTTTAAATTGCAATTTGAATGTACGACGCTAATATCGGCAGACAGATGACGAAGAGATAAAACGGATTTCAATTTTTGAACATATATAAGTTTTTATTTAAATTTTTTCTCAGCTATCATACTTTTATCTATTAACGTTTTGTAAAAGATAAATTACAATTGTAATATGCTTTTTTTAAATATATACTGAAAAAAATTTCCTGATAAATGAACGAATCAGAAGATTATGACTATATCAGAATTCTGATTATCTCAACTAAAATTGTAATGGATCTGCAGAAACTTCTGATTTGTCCATTTTTAAATTTCCAATGCAGTCAGATTTGTTCAATGTACAATACATTGACGAAGAAAAAGCTTCCATATATAAAAGTTTATTATATCAGCTGTGACATTTATGTTTCGACCAATGTATTCAGTAAATAAATGTGATGTAGAAGACAAAGCAAAATAATGCAGCGAAACTACTGCGGAAGCTACATAGACATTCGCATAAATTGATCGTGCGTAACGAACGGCTGATTTGATTGTGGCTTGCGCGCGATTTGATTTTCATCTAATATTGGTGCTTTACGACGCACAACTTAACGACTTGTTGCAGTCGTTAATCTGGCTACGATGCCGGATACCGGTGCGCATAAACGACATTTCAAACGGATCTTTCGTAAGGCGCGGAATGAAAATGTCAAATGCAGCTACGTTACCGTTGATGCGAACGGGAAACAGGAACCTGCAAGGAAAGCTGGGACGAAGAGTTGGGCTCGTAAACGCAATTTATACGCAGAGATATCTCATGACTCTTACATACGTTTGTCCCTTTGTTTCTATAGACTGTTTGTCAAATCGTTCAGCACAGCGGATGGTTTCTCTAACTGTGACAGTCTTCGCGTAAAACTGAGTAAATTGCAGATATAATAAATATGTAGATGTATCGATGTGGGTATCAACTTTTTTGAGCTGACTTTTCGGATATCTCGTAAATACCTAACTATTATATATGAAAAAATATTAATATTATGAAATCTATAATTTACTTCCAAGTTACAATCAAATCTAGTCAGATTTTATTTTTAAGTTCCTTAAATTTATCTTCAAATGATCTACAAATTATTTTATTGATTACTAATATCTAAAGATAAGTTTAAGAAACCTTAAATATAAAGTCGATCCGATTATAAATACGTGTATAGATTTGTCTAGAAACGTTGGACGAATACTCGTAAAAATATTATTGACGTTATAATGCAACTATCAATATTATTTACCTAATATGTATTATAATATGATATATTATAGCATCATTGTGATGAAATTAAAATACCAATTATACAAATTAATACATCTATATTTAAAAAAAAAAACAAAATAGTCTATATTTTTTGCGAAAAATAAGATATGAATGCGTTAAAAGATAAAATATAATAAAGTTAAAAAATGTTTCTTTAACGTTTGTTTGTCATAATATACTCAATATCCTTATTGATTATGGAGAAAATAATAATACGTTGAGTCAATCTCAATTTCTGTATGTACCTAAATTCCGTTCTAATTCTGCTGTATTCTTTTACTGTATATAGCATTAAAAATTTTTAGCTATTAAATTATTATTAAGTCCAACGTTTAGAAGAGGAGAAAAGAAAATAGAATTTTACTTTTTTTCATTTAATTAAGAAAAACAAAGTAGGCAAATAATTTTGAGCGTTAGTACTATAAATAACTCGTTTATTATACTCATTGTATA